TGTGCTTTGGTGGCCCCCCACATAATGGATCGTTTGAGTGCAAACTTGAGGATTCCTGAATGGTTGGTTCATGGTGGTAGCACCTCCATGCTTAGTTATCACGTTGTAGTTTTCAATACTGCTGACATCACTTACTGACATTTTAAAAAAAACTAACTCCTCAATCTATATGAAAAAATGGGCAAAGGCTTGTCTTCCACACTGAATTACCAAAAAAGATAAAAAAAACTTTGAGGACTGTTGTCGTGGGATAGATATTAATGTTACAAGGTTCTTTGGACAGAGAAAGTCTAATGTTATGTGGACACCAATAAAAGATAAGCGTCCTAGTTTAGTTTTAGAGTTCATTAATAATCATAGGTGTCCAATACTTTAGCCTAAAAGGTGGATAAACTAAACACAAGTACATAATACTCTTTATTGAGTTGGTAAAAACAATTTGTAAACCTTGTGTAAGGTGAAAATATAGGAAAACTCCGTGCTTACTCTGGAGACAGATGGTAGTTTGGGCATCGGCAGGTTTACACCATGTTTCTTATTCAGAAATAAGGAGGAAAGTGTTAAATGAGATAATAGGTTCTATACAAAGGTGGTCAACATAGCGAGTAACACAATTTGATGTCTTGAGTTTCATTCTCACCATGTCCCAAATTAAAATATATATCTAAATGATAAATGTTAGTGATCCCATTTGTAGGCCAATAAATGAGATAGAGAGAGAGAGGATGTTAATGGATGAGACTTGCCTTTGGTGATTACCCGCCAAATGGCAACTATCTTTCTTTGGATAGGGAGTTGTTATATCTATTTCTTTGGATAGGGAGTTGGCATATCTATTTGTATGGGCCCATGTGTCCCTATAGAGAGTCTATTTTTTTTTTTATTATTATTATGAATATGAGATGGAGAGCATGAAGGCTAGCTGAATAAGCAACCCACGTGAAACACAAATTGCTTGCATCCAATAGAGACATGCAGGTGGACACATGGCCGGGGAATTGGGGGACCTAAGTGTTTTGAAAAACCAATATGTGGTTATGCAAAAGTTATTTCACATGGTATAATATATAAGAAATGTTTCTATATTTCCCCTACAACATAGATGATCTATGTTTCCCTTAACATCCAGCTGTTCAATTTTGATCAAGAGAGCCACTTACTGTTTGATCTTAAATCCCACGTCTCAAAATATATTTTTTTTAGTTTTTTTTATACTATTGTATGAATATGAAATTTCATACGTGCCATTTTTTTATCGGGGCGTACCTAGAAAAAATATTAAAAAAAATTTTCGATAAAAATATAATGATCAATATATCCTTTAAAACTTTCAAAGGTATTTTGATCATTTTATTTTATTGAAAATATTTTTTTACATTTTTCGCTAGTGCGAGTTTAATAGAGGATTGAACATACAAAATTTGGTATCAAAATAGTTTATAGAAAAAAAATTAAAAACAAAATAGTGCAGATACATGACATTGTGATTGGGGCAATCTTGGCCCTCCATTCATAATGGACAACTGGATAAGGATAAGTATATAAGTTTTATGTTGTAGGGGAGGCATAGAAAGCTTGCCCATAATATATATTTTTTCAATATAATGGCAATTTTAGAAAATTTTAGAAGTACATTCATTATCATTATCATCTTAGCCTTATCTCAACTATTTGGGGTTGGTTAATATGATCAAGATTAATATGATAAAGATTATAAATGTGAAAATGTAACATAATCCTCCTCCTTCTCTGGGTTTGGGACTATGATTGGCTTGGGATAGAGTTATTTTTACAATAACATTGATTGTGCTAAATTTTATTTCACACATTTTAGAGGGCATAATTCGTCATGGTAATATTTTTTATAGATATAATGGTAATCATAGTGCACTTCTATCATTTAATCAAACTTCTTGTATCCTTATGCTTATATCTATCAGGAAAAATATTTGGTGTCTTTGGTGGGTCGGCATGTTCTTGTGTCATTCTGAAAGGACTTAGGTCTCTCTATGGGACTTAGGTCTCTCTATGTCAGATCTATTATCTTGGCAGTGGATATGATACACTTATAAAATTTTGAACATGGTTATAAGGATTGGATTTGAACTGGTAGTCCGACCGGTCAGACTGCTAACAGGTGTCTCGGCCAGTCTGGTTCAAGGTGAAAATGAAGTTTGTTTGAAATTGGTCAAAATTAATGTTTGACCTGTTTTAGCCAGTTGGAGCACCCGATTTTAACCAGTTCAATTAGCTAAATGAGTCAAGAAAATTATTTTAAATATATTTTATTTTTTTAAAATTATTATATCTACTCTTCTTTATTTTTTACTAATATCCAGTCTAACCAGTTCAACTAGTGATTGGATCAGTTTGATTAGCTTGAATCTCTTACTCGTTCGATGGCTGGTCCAATTCTAAACCCAAATTCCATCTTGTCCATCTCCAACATGAATTTGGAAGAGCATATTCATCGGACTAGATGCATCCCAGTCACATTTAAACTCGATTCATCCATTAAAACACTCATATAGAAAAAAGCAGAAGCACATTAGATACTCAAAATGTGCAATATTCCCTTAACATTGTTTGGGCCGGTGAGGGGATGTGCTAAAGTCAAGCTGACCCTAGATATGGACAATGAAGTAGGTAGAGCTGCACATGTGAGTGGGGACATGATTTCGACAATTTTTAAGCATTAATTGAGGGGGGCCTTGAAAATGAGCAAATGTGCTGAAAATGAATTTATGAACTTACTACTCTCGAGAATTAAGTTAATGACAACTTAGAATGAGACTTTAAGGTCTCAAGTTTTCATATATCAATGAGACTTCAAAATTATTTTTTATAATTAAAACTTAGAAAATTTTATGCATATATCCCCCCATAATTTCCTTAAAAAAATTCAAATTTTGTTTTCTTATTCGCATAACCTTTTTTCTTCTTTTTTTATTCCTAATATTTGGATCTTCATGATCCGAAGTCACGAAGTGATTTTATGACTTTGGATCTTAAAGAACCAAAATCAGCCCATATACCCCTTTTTGCCTCAATTTTTTTTCTCAGTTTGCCTCCACTTTGAAATGTTGGATTTGCAAGTTCCAAAGTCCTATGTGATTTTGGATCTTGAAGATCCGAAGTACTACGTAACTTTTGATCTTGAAGATTCGAAGTAGTAATAAAATGGAGTACGACTTCAGATCTTCAAGATCCAAAATGTTAAAATAATTTAATCATTTATGATCTTAAATATATATATATATATATATATATTTTAAAAGTCTGGGGACAAAACATAAAATTTTCAAAAATTTAATAATGTATCTTACCCAAAAAATCATTATTTCGTAATAGATACAGATTGACTGATGGGATGTCCTGATATTTGATAATGAGGAAATCATGCAATTCCCATGATTTATTCGGTGTAAGGTGATGAATCTCATTTAATTTCAGCGCAATAGCACAGGAATTGGTATTTATGCTCAACTAACTAGGGGTGGCAATCTGATTGGATCGACTCGAACCGGGGCCCGATCCATGTCTAAGTTTTGGACCCATCGGGTCTTAGGTCCGGGTCCAACATGGACCCTATCAAGTTGGCTTGGGTCCAGGTCAGGATCGGCACAACCCAATATCGACCCAACCCCGTACAAAATATATAAAAAAATATAAAATATAAATACACTAAATAATGTATAAGAAAAAAAATTTATTTTTTAATTTCCCGACTTGGGTTTGGTCAGGTCCAGGTCTAAATGACTTGGACCGGACATGGATCAAGGTTGAGTCTAGGTGATACCTAATCCAGTCGATCCGTGCTGGGCCGACCCAATCCAACCGGTAGACACCCCATAAGCTAACTCTTCAAAACAACGATGAGTACTTAAAACTCGAGAGTTTGTATACTATGGCAGCATTAGGATATAAAACAGTACGCTAGCAACATCTTAGCTACTGGTTATCGACAACAGACGGTTGGGGAGTGTTGCTCCTCCCAGCCCCTAATCAGTCATCTAATGTCCACAACTGACGACGGTAGTCACTCTGAGTGAGGAAGCAACACTCCTCAACCATGCATTGTGGACATTGGATGGTACCTTTGAAGCTTCAATTTTTGGTTCTTGAAGACTTGAAGTCGAGGCTTTTAAGACTTGAATAATCTCAAATATCTGAATTATAAATTAGGTTATCATTTCAAACCTTCAAGGTTCGGAGCCAAGACCTTTGTGTTCTAATCTTATATGAGAAGTGACGATGAAGATATAAAGTCATGACTTTTAACTTGACTTTCGATTTCGAAGATTAAAAGTCAAAGATGGGGGAGTTATAGAAAAATAAAAAAGGAGGTAAAATAAAGGGTGTAGCCATAAAATATCAAAATTTGGGAAATTTTTATGAGAAAATATAATGAAACCATTCGTTTTTGCTACAAGGTGGTCACAATTAATATTCACTATTGGATTTGAAATTAGATGGCTGTATTTATTCCATTGACCAAGCTCAAACATCAAAATAAATTTTTTCAAACTTTGCAAGACACCCATGCTATCAGATTTCACATCGGATGGTTGTAAGTAATTGTGATATCCTTTACATAAAAGTAAATAACATTATATACAATCCCTTTCTATAATAATATTTTTTTGGGGGGACATGAGCATGATTTTCTCTAAGTGTTTCTACAACTATTACATGAAATTATGACGTATTGATTTTAGCACTTAAATTAACATAGGAAATGACTATAGCCCTATAATTTGTTGTTCTACACATCAGATGTTTAAATATTAATTACATAGTTTAAAAGAAAGTATTTTAGTGAACATTTTCATTTAGTTCATATAAGTTATGAGAGAAAATTCCAACAAAAATAAATTTTATTCCAACAAAAAAGAAACATGAAAAATGATTTAGATCATATTTATTTTGAAATTTACAAGACAGTGAACCGAAGATTTTCGACGGATTTCATGTCATAGGACTATCTGGTCGCACATGAAATTTTGCTAGCTATACCATATGCACAATTGATCCCACGGGATCACCACACATACTACCTGCAACCCTATACAAGAGCAACCCAAGCCATCCTCTCTCACAGTTCACATTTTCCCGCTTAACTGCGACTCTCTCTCTCATCCAATCACTCAGCTTTCACAGTTCACATTTTCCCGCTTAACTGCGACTCTCTCTCTCATCCAATCACTCAGCTTCCATGCATTAGAAAACTGTAAGTTTATTTGTGTTATTTTTTTCTTTTATTTTTGCTCATAATTATCGTCCTGATCGTTAATATGCGACAATGATTCTCCATCTCTACTATTTTCAATATATTGAAGCCGCATTTTTCTTTGTATTCATTTTTTTTTTTTGTGCATTTTCAGTTTTCCCTTTCCATTATTTGTTCAATTTCATTTAGTGGATGAATTTCATTTTAGATTGAGACTTTAGAGTATGTTTCTGAAGAATTCATGCTATATTTATTATTTCTTGCTCTAATTCATGTTTTTTATTGGAGAGATTGCTGAACCCAGTTCTCATACGGAATTTTCACAATTGGCAGTTTTGTTTTAATTTTATTTAGAATTTCCATGGTTTATGTGCCATAAATTTTAATGAATGATGAAATGTTCACGTCATTTGTTGAAGTGCATTGTCTTATACATCTATTAATGCTTGTCTCAGTTGCTTATTTGGTATTTATTGTTGCCTTGTAGAATTTTTGAGACACATTCAAATTGGGTTTAGTTTTCTTCCGCTCTCTCTTTCTTGCTCTTAATTTTTGTTTCAGTAATTATTTGCTACTGTCTTATAGAATTTATGATGGAGACTTGAATTGAGTTTGTGGCATTTCTAGCTATCCCTTGTTGTTTTTGTTAGGTGTAGAGAAACGACAGTAAGAATGATACTAGCTAGCTGCTACTTGTATTTGGGTTTTCCCTTATAAAGCACGTGAAACGAATTCTGCTTGTAATTGTCTTTGCTAATTCCATAAAAGTTATTTTTTACTACTTTTATTGAATAGGATTATGCATTCTCTTTGGAGAATTCGAAAAGCTTGCAGTTCTGCTTTTTGGGGAGCTACTTTATTTATTTATTTTGTTTTGCTGGACCTTAAAGAATGTATGCAGGTGCATTGTGGGATTTTGTTTGGTGACATTAACAGTTTATGTCTTTTCAATTACTGGCCTTTAACATGCCTTGATCTAGATAGCATGCGAAATACTAGGCACTGTGTGGTTGAAATTTTTTATTGGAGTATTTACTTAGTACAGTATGAATGCGTCAATGGCTTCTAATATATCAAAAAATAAAAAATATTGACCTTGTTTTTAAAGCTAAAATTCACACCTTTTCTTTTGGAGATTCCTTTTTCTTTGGGAATCGTTTTGGATAGCGGATAGTGAAGAGCATTTCCATGGTTTTGGGAACTGAAAACTGTCAATAAGTGAGAGTGGTTTGAAGCCACGATACAAACAAATGAAAGAAAGGATAGAAACCAATGATCCTAATTAGGAGCCTTCCTTTGTTCGTTACTTCGTATAAAGTTGCAGATAGCATTAATATAATATGAATAGTTGATTGGCCGCATGAACTTTACTTGCATTGAAAGTTGAAACCTAACCTTTTATTTCTTCATAACTTTTATAACTTTATTCCTCACAGTTCTCACATGTTCAATGTCTTTATTTAATGTACTTATTATGCTCATGAGTTGGAAAATTTGCGTGACTTCTTTGTTTTTTTTCTTTCTTGAAAATTTTCAGGAAGCATTTATTTGAGTTACTTCGGCTGCCATGATTGTGTGTTGTGCAAATGTAGCATTCAGTTCTCATAGTGAGATGATGTTGTAATGGCATGCAATCATCATCATATTCAGTCCGCTTGGCGAAATTTGCACATGCTTCTTCAAATACCAATGATTCCAAGGAGTAAATATGTGAATTTTAATGGCCACCTACGTATTCATCATTTTTTGACTAATATAGCTGGAAAGGTATTTACTCTTTTCAAATTGTTATTCGTGAGAGAGTTCTAGCTGTTTATACCTGTTTATATTCTTTTTTGTTTGCATAATTTGAGTAATATTTACTTTTAATTCTTGTTTTCTACTGTATTGATTTTTTTTTTTTATTTGTGCAAATTTGGATGCATTTATTAAATAGGCTGCAAATTTTGTGTAGTAATCTTGTTAATTATCTTCTTTCTACAGTTAGAGTGACTTATTAAAAAAAGATTATTTGATGAATGATGGAGTAAAGTTTTCCTCATAGATGAATAATGACCTCATTTATAAATATGTAGAAAACAGTCACGACAGTCACAAGTCTATAGTGGTATACAAATCCCCAAGAACCATGCTATTTATAGTTATGTTTAGAATTGCCTAACATATCTACCTTTGCATTCGCCTTCGTTGATGCATAAACTGCATATTTGATGCCACAATTTGATAATAGGTCATTTGTTTCTGCTACGATTTCCTCTTTAGTTTTCTTGAATCTGAGGAGGGACTCCCCTTTTAACTGAGGTTTGGACAAGTCGATTTTTTCCTGATCATAGAGTTGAGAAATGTGGCTGACGAAAAGCAAATTCAACGCACTTGAAAATTGTAAGATCACCCGAGTCTTTAAAGCTCAGCTAGGTGGCCAAAGCTGAGTTGACAGGGCAATATATGAGTCTTATGACTGAGTTTCTGAACAGCAATTCTAAGCTCCTAATAACTTTTTGGGAATCACCTTTAATAATTTGTCATTTCTATGAATGTTGACTGGAGGAACTTCCAAATCTTATCGAATGGGTTAAGTTCTCGCTTGAAGAGTAAGAACTCAACAGGACCTTACCCCTCTTGCTCTCTCAGGAATCATATTTGCCTCAGTTCAGGATGCATCCTTGACCCCAAAAGGCTTCAAATAGCCCTTGAGGTTTCCTTCATTGTTCCTTATCACTCCTTTGATGTGACTTCTATTCCAAGGTAGAATTTATGGTGTTTAATAACTGAAACTCGGATCTTAGCCATTTGATAACTGATCAGTTGATTCTTAATCCTTTTGTGCCCATAAGGACAACCCCAACATGTGGCAGCATTCATAGGTCAGTATATGGTCCCAGAAAATTGATAATGTGGATGTGCATTAGAAATGGAATACTGATTTTCAAGTTATCACCTTGGGTGCGTAATAATACTAATTAGTCAATTTAAGCAAGAAGTACTGAGTATCGAAATAGTTTCAATGAAGACACAAGAGTGATTGAGGGATGTTTTAAGTGAGTGCATTTTGGTATATTTCTATCCTCAAACGAGCAGGAATTTCATTATTTGGGAATTGAATGTTGTCAACCTAATATTCAGTTGCAAAACCCAACGTTTGGGAGTGGTGGCTTCCTTTTGAATTAATTTGCAGGCGATACACATTTTGAGGTGATTGTTAGGGAATTGCGTTGGTTAATAGGGTATAAGTTCTTGCACTTCAGAAAAATTGGCACACGAGCTGATGGTGTGAAATGAACACCTGTTGGGATGTTATGTGTGATGAAGGGTGTATGATAGTCTTACAGTTATGTGTTGTGCTTGGGCGCTTGAGGTAACTTTCAGAAGTTCAAAGGGTCAGGTGGATTCACTGTTGTTGTGGCAGTATTACATTTTTTTAGTGTGAGAATTAAATTTAAGCGATATGTTTTCATCCTTAAGTCTTCAATATATGAACTTGAGGGTGGTAACTTTGTGATTTGTCCAGATTTAGAAGTCAGAATATTAGTCGAATATTGTGCACTTACACAAGAATTCGCTGAAAGAGGCAAAGGTTCATCCAGGGATTTGTGCAACAAAGAGGAAGTAAGTCAGTGGGAGCTGATACTAATCCTCTAGTATATTTGCCTGGTTCCTTAACTAGAGCCCCAGCGTGAAATTCAAATCTCCAATTCTAAGATATCAATAGAATTGTCCCAAACATGTGGGCGTGGGGTTTATCATCGCATAATGGGTTGCTTTGTCAGACATTTGTACCTTTGTCAGTGTCCATGAAATATCATAAGGACCAAATAGTTACATCCTTTGCTGTCATGAATTTGATTGTTTATTCATGTTGGGGCACCTGTGTAGCTATGGCAGTGCAATCAAGCCAAATAGGCATTTATAAAAGTTTAACTGAGTGCTTACTTAGAATGTCTATCCACAGCTCATGCAATTTTAATTACCTGAAAATTGTTATAAGTTATGATCTTCAGATTTCCAACATAATGGTTGCTATCTATATTTCCAAGTTTTAGGTGTCCTCGTCAATTGATTTTGGCTTATTTACTGAAATACATATGATACACACAACAATTTGATTCACCAGCAAAGGTAATAATAATATATTTCTATCTGGAGACCATCATGTTATATTCTACTCTTGGATATGTGTGTCATTAGTAAAGCTACACGAGAGAATGACTATCAATTGTGGAGTAGTGCATTACTGCATTTGTTCCCCTGGTTTTTACTCATTTCTTTGTTCTTCACTGCATTTTGAACTGTGAGTATTACTTCATTGATTTGACATTATGTACCTCCTTTATCTCCTTGTTCTGAGAGCATATGATGTTTTGTTGCTAATATTTTGTAGAAATAGAAGTTACATTTAACCTGATATTCATTTCATGCAAGTAGCCGACTCACGGTAGAGAAAATTTACAATAAAAACAACTGTACATATTATGACAGATTTGTGATTTTGAGTTTTAAGTTTTTGATACTGTCCCAGGAATGTACTACACTTCCCAGTGGTGGGGATTTGCCAAAAATTGGGAAGTCTTTGGCTTGTCAAACTGTTTCAGATCCGTCCTCAGAAGTTGACAGAACAAACTTGAAGGATGTGGCAATTAATACGAGCCTGTTCAAAGCGAGAGATAACACCCTGAACACTCTGAATGGTCGACTAATGCTGATTGATGGAACAGCAGTCATGTACAGATCATATTACAAACTTTTATGTATGCCTCAAATCTTGGAATACATTTATTTTTTGAGCTGTTCTATATGATATTTGCAACTTCTTTGATTCCTCCAATTTGCTTTTTTTAGTGATATTTGATTGAGAATGGTTAAGTCACTACTGAAGAAAGCTGATGTGCTCTTTTTTTCTCTTTAGCCTTAAAACTTGTGTGAAGTATCAGTGGTTTGGGAGTCTCATTATGGGATTTTTTTATTAGCGAATAGTTCAGATTTCAGAGTTGCTAGTGATTGTACAGACTGGCAGATGGTGGGGTTTGTTGGCAACAAGCAGTGAAGAATATTTGCATTGAAGTATATCGTATAATGGGGGTAGGTAGGTAGGAAGGGAAGGGGGAGGAAAGCATGTGTAAGGAGTGTGCTAGAGATGGGAAGCATATTGGGATAGGGGAAAATGAGGACTAGTGAGGGTGTATGCATGAAAGAGTACAAGCATTGGGTGGTGTTAGATGAGTAGTGGAAAGGTCTGATGAATTGCAGGGGTTATGTCTAGGGGAATGTTGAGATAGGAAACTTTGATAGATTATTGTACTATTGGGTGTGTAACAAGAGAGCACCAATGCATTTTTCAAATTTTGGGGGTTGTGAAGGGCAGGTTCATAACTGAGACGATGGTAGGACTTGTAATAAGGAAAATTGGGTTTTCATTAGGAATTTGGAATTGCTTTTCTTGTGCAGTGGAAAGCTCAGAGGTGGAATAGGTAGCCTCATCTAATGGAGATAATTTGAATCTAAAGTGGGAAGCTTCTAGGTAGTGTGAGATCCACAACATTGCATTGGTTTGTTAAGTAAATATCGATAGACTTTTGATATGATTGTCTTTGCCTTCTTCTTCTTTTTTATCCAACTAGCTGGTTTCGAAGCTAATCCATATGTTCCTGTACAAGTCTATGGATGTATGGGAGTTATGAGCTCCTCATGATTCCTTTGAGTCCTGCATGTCACTATACTCAGTGTTTTAAAATTGGGCTGACTTGTTGCCTAGGTAGTCGAGGGCCTAGGTGCATTGCCTAGGGGTAGCTAGGTGCCTAGGCATCTGTCAGGGCCTTGAGCCCACTGTTTGCATATATTATTAACACACATGGCAAACCCATAACAAAAGGCCCATTTGAAACTGGAGGATGGGTATTCGGGCATCAACTTATCCCAAAATTTCTTAAAAGATAGGGGTAGTGATGGTTCCTGGGCAAAGGACAGCTTGCAGACGGCAAATGTGTAGGGTTGTTAACCCTGACAGAAATTCGGTACCAAATAGCTGGAAAACTTCTGGGATTACTGAAAATGGTGGAAGGGCCCTGAATGAATGCATTTTTGGCCCAAACTCCGGGGATCTTCATTTTGGATGATAGAGGACCTCCCAAATAAAAACCATGGGTTTCGGAGTTAGTTATGACCCGGATCTACTGTAGAGAGCACAATAAAGGGGCAATAGTTGAAGATGACGAAAACGGATGCAATCAACCCCAAATCATGCCTCGATAGAGTCCCCACCATGCCAAAGATATCCCCCAAAGTTTCAGCCCAAAACAATGTTGGATGGAGAAGATATGTCAAAAAGAATTTTTGGACTATAGCCTATGGGGTGTGGAGTAACAAAAAAAAGGGGTAAAATTACAAAAGAGCTCTTGGAAATCGGAGCCCCATGGCCCCAAGACTCACGCGGATGATAGTAAACTGCCAAAAAACCTTAACCTCAAAACCTCGTATTTTTTCCATACTGAAGATTTGGTGATGTTGCCTACTTTTGAAAAATAAACTTATGCCATCAAAGCAATGGGTCAAAACTTTGCAACATTGCACATTTTTTGGCGAACTTCTTGCTTCGATTTTTCCCATATCCTATAGAATCTCGAGCTGAAGTTCGACTATGTCATTCTCCTCGACGAGATCTTTTTGTTGTTATATATATATTTTGGGGTATCCGCTCCTGGAAGTTGAAGAAAATTTAGAGAGAAGTTTGGACATTTCTATATTTATACAAATCGCAGTCCATATGATCTCTGCCTGATTTTTCATTGACTTCTCCCAATCCCGTGGGTGGGGGGTGGTTTCCAGCCAAATTTGATCTATTATGATCGTGACTCGATGAGGTTTCCAATTGTATATGAAAAGTCACGATCAAGGCATGGATCAGGGGTTGTTTTGAAGGAAAAATGTATCCGATTTTGGGATGGTGCTGATTTTCTTGGTTTCATAGCCTCAAAAGGCCATAACTTGCCCGATCAATGGGATTTTTACACGGTTTTTGTTGCAAAACGACCGTGGTGGCAAACCTTGAATCTCATGGCATAGGAATAAGGAAATACGACGAGAATTTGGTGGGATAAGGTGAGAAAGGTCTAAAGCGTATGAAGTTGAAATTGTATAAATGCTCAAAACTCCACCAAAATCTCCAGAGTTTTTAAGCCAAATTTGATGCACATCGATTGCTTCGTTGTGATCAATGATTTAACCGAGACAGATCACCGGTTTCGACGCCGGAAAGCAAGAAATGACGGCCCCATACCATATGTATGGTTTGAGGGAAGCTTGTTAGGGATTAGAGTGTAATTTCAACCATTGTTGGCCAAGTTTCCCTATCCTTTTGAGTTTGGACGGGATAAAAGTTGATTATCCATTCCCCCTTAAAGTTGATTATTCATTCATGTTCTAAACTCCAACTATATCAGGGTTTAAGCACCCCATTTTTGGGGGGTTGGAGTTCATTTGTGTGGTTTAGGGTGGAGAGAAATTCTAGCGAGATAAAGAGAGCTCTCTGAGGTGGAGAGTGACCTTAACCTATAGCCTAGAGAGAATGTAAGCTAAAGAGAGTAACCCTACCTTTAGCTCTAAGCTTCCGAAGTTCTAGAGAGAGAAACTCCATCCCAATCAAAGCCCAAGCAAGGCACACCTTATCCAATCCAAAGCTAGCAAGAGAGAGAGAGAGCATCAGGGCTTCGGATCGGACAGTAATTCGGGTTGGATCCAAGTTCAAGTGGATCTAATCTGGATCCAACCAAGTTATTAAAATATTATATATTAGTTTACATATATGTATACATATATGTTATATAGAATTTTTTGTTATATATTATTCTATAGATATAAAATAATATATAAAATAATTTTTTTGGATCCAACCATGTTCGGAACTGGATCCCATGTATACGTTTCAGATCCGATCCTTCGAATCCAAACCTTGGATCTATACCCAAATCCGGATGGGGTCCGAAATTCTGATTTTGGATCCAAACCAGGTAAATTCTCAGCCCTACCTAAGGGTACTCCTGTCGTGTGGGAGTGTTTTTTTTGTATATAGAGCTCCTAGTTTGTGGGATGCCATTTTTTTGATACGTATGTACTTCTCTACCTTCATTACAATAGAATAGAACAGGTAACCTCTTCAAAAAGAAAAATAAAGCTTAAGATATGGATGTGGTTCCCAAAGGTACTGCATATGCATAGAGTCATGGAGTTGAATGTGGATTATATGAAATGGATCCATGGTTGAACTCTCCCCTGTTGACAGACTTACCAAAAAAGTTCCGTTCTTGATAGAAAGACCAAAGCCTTTTCCTACTATGAGACCAAATTTGATGCTTTTTTTATTTGAATGTGAACATAAATTTTGGCCTTGTGATTACAAGAAGTTGAATTTGTGAGAGGGAACCAACAATTACTGAATATCTGGTTATTGTTTTGGTTTCATTGAGTATATTTGGCTTTCCTTTTTTCACCTTGTTAGGATTTATCTTTACTATTATTTTCAAGATTCGACAATATTTTTTAGTTATGATTATTGATTTTATTTATGTGGTTGGTGGCATTGTTAGCTAGGTTGCATCATGGCCATTTAGAACATGCTGATGGCAATGGAGATTGGGTTCTGACCATCTTTACGGCGCTAACCACTGTAAGCTATTTAATTTTATTCTAAGCTGGTATTACATTGCCATCCCGATGTTAAAATTTGTCCAAGCATTTGAATTACCGGATTAATTGTTTATACTATAGCTTGCTATGGAGTGCAATTTTCTTAATCTGTCAATATGAGAACTTATTTATGCTTAGGAAAATGCTTAAGTATGAAAATGTACAAGAATCAGGCTTTACTAGCTTCTTTTCAAGGCTTATCTGATATGGTAGAGCTGAGCTGCTAAGAGAGAGCTGATTATGTAATATGGAATGTGCTCTGTGCTCTCTCTTTTAAAGAATGCTAACTTGCTACTCTATTTATGGCTCTTGCTTGGCACCTGGAAAAAAATATATTTGCCGCAAAAATTGTTAATAATGTTTTCTTCATGCTTATATAATGCTTATAATGTGAGTGAAATACTCTTGCTATAGTCTTAGAACTCTCAGGCTGGGCTTGGATCTGTCCAACCTGACTTGACTCGGGACTCAGACTTCACTTGTTTGGTCTTTTTTATCTTTATTCTTAATGTTAGGAAAAGTAAAAATGGTAAAATAACAATCTTAAAAGGATGTATAAGCCTAATAAAGCATGGTAGGCTACATTTGAATGAAATATGTTTGTTTTTAACTCAGCATGCCTTATTTATTTTGTTTTGTGAAGTATTTTTTTGATGACTTTTAAAGTTTCAATATTGATACTTTGAAGATACATTCATTAAAATGAATCTTGCAGGTGCTTGACATGTTGGAATTTTCTCCATCGCATGTGGCGGTATGTTCTTCACTTGTGCTGCTATGGAAAATGCTGTCAATTCTAACTTTGTGCTCTTTTGCTAGATAAATGGTTTCCATTGATTTAGCATAACAAACTTGTGAATGAGGAATTGTCGCATGAATTGCTACCCCTACTAATTGTAGTTTGAGAAATGTGCTATCCAAGTTAAAGTCATTTCACTGCCAAAATTGTTTTGAGTTTTTTTCCATACATTTTATGGAAAACGATTTGAAAAGCCTTTTTTTTTTTTGATAACTAACTTCATTGATGATTTAAGGAGTAGTACATGAGGTTCATAACAGAGTTATAATGTCAAAGATGGGAAACGATCTCAATCAGTCAAAACACATTCTAGCAACCTAAGGTGTCTAAGCATTGTACATGATCCTCATTAAAGGTTCTGTTCGCAAATAATTTTTTATTCGTTGCATTGCCTATATTAAGCTTCTCTTTTTCTAAGGTCTTATATGATGTTGTAGGCATTCATATTAACTGGTTGTATGGGATTTTAAATCCACTGAAATACTACTGCGTGACTTCTGGTTTTACAATTTATATAAATTTTATAGCTTTTTTTTTTGTGCTTTAAAACTGTATTATTCTCGTTTCATAACTGGTTTGATTTTACAAATTATCTAACAAAGTACTTGTTTTTCGACACAGGTAGTCTTTGACCATGATGGTGAGATGCATCATTCTAGATTCTTAACAAGTCTTTTGGTACTCTTTCTGTTTCTTCCACACCTGGTCTTGCTCATTTTGTTTTTCTTTAGAATTGGTGCTCTCCATAGCACAATTGTGTTGCTTCATATTTTGAGATACCATAGTCATCCTTATTCGAGCTGATGAATGGTTTAGAAAGCTTATATGTGATTCCTCCAGCTGCATGCACGTGTACTTAACAGTCTCTTGTGTTATATCTATGAAGCCTTCGCCTCTCTATGGATGTGTGCATGCGTGCAGTGATATTACTTTTCTATTGTTAACTTATATGTTGTGTCACATGTTTGCTGGAGGCTAACCCTGATCCTCTTCTATCCAGTATGTATGGTGTTTTCCAGGATTGCTGAACAAGATATTTCGAATAAATCACCACAAAGCTTTTAACCTGTTTGGTGACTATGTTATTATGCCTGGTATTTGTAGTACTTCAATTGCATGTTGTCTGTGCATGACTTGAATATCATCTGCCATGTAGTTTGACCTGATACTAAACTGTGTATCAGCCAAGTAATCTTCTCATTAGTATTTGTTCATCCAATAGTTTGGGATGCCTAAACATGAAACTTTGGAGGTAGTGTCTAATATTTGAGAGTTGAAGATATGCCTGCATCTGTTTCAACATCAACATGTGTCTCAAATGGTGGATTTGGATATTTAATGATGTAACCTAAGATCAGCCACTCGCTAATCTTTGATTACTGTTGTAGAATAATGATCAAAACTAAAACTTCCTCAAGGTACACGTATCAGGTGAGTCATCTCTCTTTCAGTTAGGGATGGGACATTGGGGGTCCCCCCCTGGGGGTGTCGGGGTGGGATAGGGGGTGGCTGTGGGGGGTGGATGGGGTACTTGGACTAGAAACTTTGATGAGTAAGGTGGTTAACTTTTGTTTAGGTGTTACAATTTAGTGCAGTGTGCAACTACGACTAGTTCCATAAGATGAAATGTTAAGTTCGAGTGTGTAATGTCCATGACCATATCTCATCCACTTATTTGCATATAGAATGTTCTGAAGAGATTCTGTTAGCCCTTGAGTGACCACATTCATTTTGTTTTGGGTCTAAGTTGTTGTTATGACTCAATTTGGCATCAATTTAATGTTAATTTGCCATATGGGGCATAACGTTGTTACCAGCCGGGTAGTCTAATAGATCACAGTCACTTCAAGGGCTGTAGGTGAGCTGATGGTTGGGGGATGGGTGAGGGGATAAAGTCCATGTGCACTCACTTACTTATCATGGCTTATGTTGAAGATATGGGGGTATGTACCTTCTTGAGCTCATAAACACGTGCCTTTTTCCTGTTTTTGACATAGAACACTGGGATTGGACTCTGCGACTTACTCTAGTGTTCTGATGTATTTTCAGTATCTATCTATATTTTATGATCTAATCTGTGTTGGATTGCAGTTTTATGTTCATAATATTCTTTCCTCCATATTGGTGCTATTTTGATTTACACAATTAGGTGTTCCGCCATATTGGTGCTATTTTGATTTACACAATTAGGTGTTTGAAGCTTGAATTTCAAGATCGGTTCTGTAGTTGTCTATCTGCTTTGATGCAGATGTTTATATGCAGGGTACAAAAAACTGGAATCGGGTCCCGGCTCAGTCTCCCACTGAACTGAGTCGGATCAGAGATTCGTTCTCAGGCATGTTGGCCTAATCCTGCTGCACAAGGCCCAAAAGAAATCCAAAAAAATGTCCAAAAGTTCTGAAAATCACATTATTGTGGTTTGTGGGAAAATGGATGTCCATATTACTTATTTTTGAAGGTGAACTGACAGTTTTTGGGGGCACCCTACTTTTATCACAGTGAGTATGGGAATGAAACCCAACACTTCTTCAATAAATGATGAACTGAGAAACTTTCTCTCTTTTTCAATAAATGATTTTCTCTAATGATTTTAAGCATGCATTTTTATAGATGTGTTTTATTGCATCTCTCCATCTTTTTCTCTCAAGAAATTTCCTCCCCATTTTCCTGCTCTTCATGTTTAGCTTCCCACATCGTTCTCCAAAATCACTTCAAATCTCCCCTCTCTCTCTCTCCATCCTGTTAGGTAAGCACTCACAGAATTTCATCACTTTCCAATCAAAAAACACTGATTTTTTCCTCCAATTGCAACACTGAATTTACCACTGAATCAAGGAAAAAAGAAAATTGCCCGTTTTACCTTCACCTTACTTGCACATGCCTTGATTTTCCATTCATGAAAAAACCCCAATTCATTCCCTGGTTTCCCTCTCTTTGACTTCATTTCTTTCTCAATAAAACTGCATTTCATTTTCCAAAAAACTAATTTCATTTCCTAGAGGGCTTCCTTCTGGACCTAAATAATATAATTTGGAAATTTGCCTGAGTTTAGAGAATAGGGAGAATTTTGATTGTTAGTGAAGAATTACCTGGTTCACTACAGTGAAACTGGTGATTTCAAAAAAAATAAAACAGAGAAAGAAAGAAAGAAAGAAACATCTGGCCAATCCTTGATTCTGTGGTGGAATTTGAGTTGGCTCGGCGAGTAGGTCTTCCTCTCCATTGGTTCCGAGCCAACTTGGGTGATTTTGAATCTGCTCGGCGATTTTTTAGCGATTGCTTAAACAAATTTTGTGTGTTTGGGTTTATTTTTCATTCTACTCACACACACTTGCATACGCCCATATTACCTTACGCCACCCTCAATTTGACCTGGTGTTTTAAAAAGCTCCTCTTGGATTCGCTCGAGTTACTCAGGCTCAGCACCATGCTGAGCATTGAACTCCACAAAAGTTGGGGTGCATAGAAAATGTTAGATACACGGGAAAATACTGTAGCAACTTGCCTATTATTATGAAACTCGGGATAACTTACACCAAGTGTGAACTCTTTCAGAAAAACTCACTCCAAGTATGAAACTGAAATTTAACAAGGGGTAAAAATCTGTCCCTTTTTTTATTCTAAGCCAAAAGATCCTCCATTTGAGCCCAAATTTGGCCAGTAGCTTTGTTTTTTCAATATCCATCTTACTGCATTGTTCATATTTGAGCAAAAAAATTGATTTCATGGATTTGAAAGATTGAAGGTTTCCCACCTAGATTTTTCCCGATTTCAAGAAGTTGTGTTTTCTTCACAATGGTTGGCTGATTTTTAAAGAAATTTTATCCCAAAGCCTCCATTTTTAGGTTTTCCATCGAAGCAAATGCTTATTTCATCCAAAACACGCAAAAAAAGTTCATATTTTCGAGATTTTATTTTCAGATTCACTGTTCATCCAAAAATTTTAAGATCTCAGATATCCTAGGTCCTAGCTTGAAACCCAAAACTTATTTGGGTGTCTCGGTTGGGGTTGTTTGAGGAAGCTTTGAGATTAGAGTTGTTAATTTGAATCAATGTCTTAAAAAATGGACTGGTGGGTGGATTGCCTACCCATTGATCCCGATCTGGTTTGGCTGGATGGACTATCTAGATTGGCCAAAACCAGTAGAATATAAAAAAAAAAAAAAAGAAAAAAAAAGAAAAAAAAAGAAAGAAATTTACCATTGTGATTTATAATTAATACCTGTATGCCAGCACAAATAATTTTCCTGGCTTTTTTTGGAGCACCTCGTGACCTTGATCACGAGGTCAAAAGTTTGAACCTCCACTTTAACCGTGTAATAATTCTTTTTACGCTTAATGTATAATATTTTTTTTAATGTTTGAAGGTTAAAAAAAAAAGAAAAAAAAGGACGCACCCTGTGAGATTCAATCCCCCTCCATGTTGTGCAACAAACATGGCCACGAAATAAACTGTCCAGTTATGTGTTTATTCTTTTGTACTTATTGCACCTATATTTCCTAATGAAAGAAAGTTGTACCCTGAGTGGTTCAGACCTTCGACACGTAGTGTAACGAATGCACTTGCTACCAAATTAACCATTTCATATTTTTTGTTAAATAACGTACATGTTATTTTATATAAACTTCAAAGAATCGCCAATAACAACCGAGAACCGGCATGGTCATCGACAATTCCCCATCCGGATTGGCGAATTTTTTGAAAACTGATTTGAATTGAGCACGAAGAACTGGGAACCAAGAGTTTTGCTTGAAATTTTGAGTAATTTTTATTTTTCACTTTAAATTCATCAAACTTGTGTAACCTATATGTTTACTCATTTTTAATCTTTTACTATTTTGTCTGAAATTTATGTTTTTTCTTTTTTTCTCTGGAGCTTCTTTCAATCTTGGCAGGGACTCGATGTGTCAATTGAACATGCCCAAGCAACTCGGCCAGTCCAGGCCTAAGTTCTGAGCCTGAGCTGAGTTTGAAAAAGCTGATTTGACGATTTAAACTGGATTTTGTTAGACCCCAAATTTTGGAGATAGTCTTAAAAACACTAGATGCAGAACTTCAATATATATATATATATATATATATAATATATATATATATATATAGAGTAGAGTAGAGTAGAGAGAGTAGGAGTAGAGTAGAGAGAGAGGTAGAGGTAGAGAGAGTA